AGAAAATCTCCCTTTATGAAGAAAAAATGCTACAGGTTGATAAGTCTTGATGAAGAGCAACCTACAAGTCTTCAGTTCCAGCAAACTGGGTTATTACGTCCTAGATCTCAGGAGCAGGAAGTAACCAGGTCTCAGCCTTTCTACTGATCTCATGACAATGAGACCATCACTTTATCCTTCAACTTTTCAACTTTTTATCCAAGTAAACAGAAAATAAAGTGTTTAAATTGCAAGTCATTCCCCTTTACTATTCTTCTCCTGTTCACTTTATTATGTAGGGAAAACTACTGCTTACACATTGTTAATACAGTTTGGACTCTGCTCTTAGTACATTACTTTTTGAAACAGACATTGTTAAAGCAACACAGCCCCCTAGTGTGGATGTAATCCAAAATTTAATTCACATACAATGACGAGGCATTAGCTTTCACCAGACTACCTGTACTAAAAATTACACAGACTTCAACAAAAAAACCTCTCACTAAATGATGACACAAATGAAAAACTCAAAACCATATACAAAGTAAATCTGCACCAGCCAATAATTAAGACTGTAGATTTAACAATAATTTAATAGCTTAGATAATTTATATCTGGAACATTTCAGCTAACAGTTTTGAGCGAAGATTTAGATGCTTTCAAAAAGACAGAATTAAGTCATGGACCTTCTTTCTCAAGCTTCATATCTTAAGAACTGGAAGAACTTGTTCTTAAGTGGGTTATCACTTATGTAATATAACCCAGCAGTTGCATTTTCACTATTCATTCTGTTGTGCCAACACAGCAAAAATTCAATCAGAATGGTGTCTCAGGTGAGAAGCAGATGGGCAGGATAGTGTGTGATTAAGTTTCCTGATGTGGTTCTGTACATATCCACATTAACACTAACTGCAGGGAGGGGACCAGGACACAGCCTGAGAATAAGCAATTACACCAAAATGTATGCACGGTTCCTTACCAGCATTCATACTCAGCTTAAATGTCTTTCCCAGTACTGTTTCTGCCTGCCTTTAAGGCTAGTGTCAACATGCTTAGACTAAACACACTTTTCCAGTTGTGTCTCTTGCCCTGTGCTTCTCTAGCAACCTTAGAACACTTTATCTGCATCTGCTCCTTCCCAGTGGATAGGCCTTCAATACAGTCATGTAGAACTGCACACAGTATTCCAGTGAAATGAAGCTGAGACTTCTTATATAATGTAGGATTCACTGGAGTCTGGAAACACAAGATGGAGGGCAAGGCTTTAGATTAAACAATTCATGGCTTTGCAGAACCATTAGATTAAAAAAAAAAAAAATTGAGACTGACATTATTCAACAATCCCAGGGACCAAAAGTTACCTTTACACACTGTTTAAAAAAATTATAATGCAATGAATGAACAAATGAACATGTTCCATTCTCTGTTTATATTTGGTTTGAGGTTTCTTTTCATGCTATTATTGGGCTGTATAATGTAATAAATACGTAATATCTAGATTTAAATTTTTGCGATCTTTCCTTACCTGACCACAGAATCAAGTTGATTAAAGGATATATGGCTAGCCCTTCCTACAAGCAGTAATTTTTCTCCTCCTTTTATGTATTCTGTTTGCATATTTCAATATTAAAGCTAAAAAAGAGCCAAGAAACATGAGATTTCAGCCCCTCCCCCAAAAAGTCAAGTATTTTAACATCTATATTTGGCCACAGATAAGGTGAACAAACATTTTTTTCTTCTCTATGTATGTTGCAGATTGACTTAGCAATAAACACGAATGTTTATACTACTGGAACTAAATTGCAGGACTTTATAATCAGTTTTTAATTTGGTGCCTATGCTCCTAAAATTATGCTGTTCTTATGTTTCTGGATCAATTAACCACCTCATCTCCTTTCCTGACTAAAGGGCTTATTTCACAATTAATCTTCAATTATCTTCTGTGAAAAGGGCATATTTACCAGCATCAGTGATCTCATAAAGGTAAATCAGTGTTTATAATTTTAAGATAAGTGCATAAAATGCCATATAAAAACTTACTATGCACTCATGCGCATAAAGTCTTTCTTCAGCTGATGTTTTTAGAGAATGCTTTAGACACAGAAGGGAAAAAAAAGCAACTTTAGTTACAGTAACTGCTTTTGTAAACATTATTTAAAAAATAATAGTGACAACCAAGCAACCATTTACCAGCTTTAAAGCTCTGACTCTTTACATTTTGTCCCACTGCAAGGTTTCCCCAAGGTGGCTGCTGCTTTTGAAACTGTGCTCCTTTAAATACAGACAAGGCCCGAGTAAAGTGCTACACAGCTGACTCCTCTGGCAAGACTCACAATGCAGCGCTGAACTGTTCATGTTTCATCTGGCATCTCAACAGTACCTGGTTAGAACAACAGCATCTTCTATCACCTACACAGATTATCTGACTCCCTGTTTTTTCAACTACACTTAGAAACAACCTGTCGTTATCAGTGATCAAAATTTCATTCACTACAATCAACAATTCACTAATTTCAAACAGCAAAGAACATTTTTATAACACATCTTAAAATAAAGTCTCTTGGACAAAATACTTTTGAGAGCAAATACTATATTGAAAAGTGTATTACAAGGGGAACTAATTCTATGCTGCGGAAATATTTGGGATTTGCTTCTCAAAACTGGCAACTAGAAATCTATTTATTGTTCTCTATGAAATCACCATAACAGCAAAGCCTCCAGAGATAAATACTCTTGACTGTCTGTGGGAGAGTGATTAATCTTTTTATTCATCTAGTACACAGTTAACCCTCCTCGTCCTCAAAAGATCTTTTTCAGGCTGGCCAACACTCAGTGTTTAATAACTGTCTCCTGACAAAATGGTTGATCAAAACCCAGTAACACAATTTTAACATTTCATAAATAATTCAATATATTTTACATACAAATTGCCTCTCCTTCCAAATGAAATAATAAATTTATTTTTCAAGTAAAGATCATAGAGATATTTAAAAGTGAAAAACGAAACAGCTGTATAATAAATATTTTAAATACACTGGATTTTTTTATCTCTTCAATGATACAAATCAATGCAAGACCACATGTAATTTAGCTGATCTGTTTTTAACCTAAGCAGCAACAGTACAATATCCTAAAAATGAATTAGCACTTGTGTAACCAATCACATTAAGTATTTCACATGATTTTTTTTTTTTTATTTTTTGTAAACAGCTTAATTGAATTTTCTTGGAATACTTCTCATCTTTTAATTTTGAATTTAATTAGGCTGTAATTACAAAACTTCTCTGCCATATGCATAGTAAACCTGTTTCATCTCTGTCACACTACATGTTAAAGTTAGCTAACTTTAACATGTAGCGTAGCTTGAAATAACACCCTTTCAATGTGCTATATAACAAACTTTTAAGGGTGACCTGGGAAACCAGTAGAAAAATAATAAATACCATACACCTCCACAAAGTAGTCAGTAGAAGGCAATTACATTCTAGTTTATCATTACTTCTGCCAGTATTTTTGGGTTGCTAAACAACTGAAATGTGTTGTTTTCCAACATCACTGAATAAACTTCATATATGTGGCTTCTTCTGGTGATGCAGGAAATGCCCTTGCAAGCAATATTTCCACTTGCACAGCAGGCAAGGTGAGGTACTTGGTGCCTTAATGACCTAAGTACAGCAGCACCGAAATGTATCTTTGAAATCCAACACAGCTCCACCAGTCTATGACTTTGTAAAAGAGAAGACAGCACATCTAAGTTTTGCCAGCTGTCCTTCTCTGATTACTTCTTCAGTTTCTCCAGACTCAAATAAAACACAAGTTCACCAAACACCTAAGTGGAATTGACCAAAGACAACACCCACAGATTTTGAGACAGTAAAGTCACCTTTTGAATTGTGTGTATATATTTTCACTTACAATCTCCATTTGCTACAAAATAATAGAAAAAATGCTGACGATGTGGATAACACTAGAGTCAGGTGCACTTTACCAAGGTCACTGATATCACTTAGTAGAAGCACGCTGTAATTTTATCAGCTGTATTTAATGAAGGTTTTAGGTTATTATCAAATTTACACTGCACTAACATTTTACAATAATGTTGGTTGTAGAGGAAATCAATCATACTTAAGAAATATACAAGAAGCTTGCTACAGAAAGGGATTTAAAAAGAAGCTGGCAAAAAAGAAATGGAATAAAGAGAAGGAAGAAAAGGGATAAAATTAAAGAATATAAAGAAAATTATAAACTTTAAAAGAATTCAAGACATAATATCTGAATAGACTTTAGTTTGCAGTAATATTACACAATACTAGGGGAAATTATGTCTGCTTCTGTTGCAAAGCATGTAACTGGCTTTCTAAGTAACAACCAAGGAAAACTGATGAACAAAAATACATAATACATTATTTTACTTAACAAACAGTACAGTTGTAAACTTCACACCTTTAAAGAAAAAAAATTGATGTCTGCATGTGTAAACAAACACACAAATATTTTAATGAGCATTCGTTGTAAAAAAATTAAAATAACTGTTGTAAGATATTATAGCATGAAAATTAATTCTGAAATTCAATTTATTTATAAAGGAATACCTTGAAATGGATAAAAATAGAAATTATATTTTAAAATCTTATAAATAAATTAAATGCCTTTTCTAATAAAGCATACTGAAATTAGGTGGATTTTCCTACTTTGAGGGGACATGAAATAACTACATCAATTGAATGTTAAAAGCTCAAGGTCTTCTGAACTGTTTGATTTGTTAAATATTATGCCAAATATTCAAAAGGAAAGCTTTCCAGTTAGGAAGAAACTCTGTGTTTTCTTCAGTTATAATACAAAAGATAAGAGTGGAGAAAAGTGACAAAACTACATGGCAGTGTAATAATCTCTGCTCTGTCTCTTTCAGGCACTTTCATAACTCTGAAAATAACATGTTCAACTGTTTATTTGAAAGGTAAAAATCCTTCCCTTTAGGAATTAAAATTTTAAAAACTGAGAATACTTTTACACAATGCATCACATTGTAATTAGAGTACCTACATTATGATGAGATGGGCCCCAAGAAAAATTAAGCAGTCTCAAATCTCTTCCTACCGTAACCATTCAATGATTCCATGTTTCTACAAGAACCTTTCCGGAAGGCACCAGATACCTGGCACAGCTCCATATGTGGTGTGACTCCCTGAGGAAGTAACCCAGCACAAGGACACCTCATCTCAGGGAAGCATCAACCACTGTTTGTGAATGTCATGGAAGCAGCACACTAAAGGCAACAAAACCACTGAACCACAGGTCAGGATACACAATACAGTCTGAACGAGGAATGTCACACCCAACCCAAACATAGCACTGAAGAGAACAGACATCACCTTTTTCGAAACAAATAATGAAAATGAAATCTGAAGAGTCTCATGGATGTTTCTTTACATCACCAGCTTTCATCAGAGCCTTAATAGCTCTGGCCCTCATCTCGAGTTCCAGAAGCTCCAGCTGTTGTGCTGATGGCTGAACATCTTCTGATGGAGGAACAGCTAAGGCTGCTGCTTTGGGCTCCTTCGGGCTGGACTCTGCCAACCCCAGAATCTCATTCACACTCTTCTCAATGTCCTTCTGAAGGTCATCTATCTGGCCAGCTCCACTTCTGACAGTGCTCTCTTGCACATCTGGACCATCCTCTTCATTGCATGGGCCTTCTATGTCACTATCATATGCATCTGCATTTATGCTGAGGACATCACTATCTTCTCCCTTGCCTGTAACACAAACATAACTATCACAGAGTTGCTTAACAGAATTCTTTTACCTCAACCTACAAAATCATTTTAGCTTAAAGTATTACTCTGCAAATTAAGAGAGTGGAAAAAATCTAGAAAAAAAATCTATATGATAATCAACTCCTCTTCTTTGTCTCCTTCAACTTTTAAAGGTAATTTATACAAGTTTTATTGCATCTTTATGCAATTATAAAATAATATGCAGTATAGCAATGCAGCAATACCAGAAAAATTTATTCCCTCCTGTGAAGTTACATTACCTATTTTTCTAATTAAATTGTCAAAAAATTTTATACTAAAGAAAACTTCTGCAGTGCAAAACTGATTTTCGTTTATCTCTTAAATAAACCTAATTTTCAGATTGTAACTTCAAAAATTACACTCAACTATGTTATGTATTTTAAGAGGCATGGGATTTTAGTGAGACACAAGACTAAAAATTAATAGAAACTCATAGTGCAACTACTCAGAATTTATCATTAGTCTTCCAGATGTATTTAACTCCACATAAAAACATGGCTAAATTTAAGACTTAGAGTTAATTAATTGTGGCTGAAAGTTGGAGTATATTTTTAAAAACATAATTAAAAGAGGCAGCTCAGTAAAATAAAAGCAAAGCTCTAACAGAACCTAACTAACCATTCACCCAGTTTGGCTGCAGCAAGACTTGCTTTTGACACACTGGCCTCCAAAGTTCACACTCTTTCAACAGCTTTTGTAAATGTGGAAATTAAGAGCAAGATTGGTTCCAGCTTAAAATGAATAATGTGTAGTCAGATGATAATTAAGTTACTGATTACAGAGACTTTATAATTGAGTTATTACTTTTAAGTTTTTATTATTAAATTACTACTTTTGGTAATACCATTTTTACCACTTGCACAGGGAAACAACAGCTTTAGAAAAATGCTATTCTTTTTTTAAAAACATTTAAAATGCGTTATGGTACCTGTATGCCCTTGGTATTAATGCATGAAAAGTGCTCAAAAACCTTAGGAAGATTTATTGTTCTTGGTGTTTACAATATTCCTCCCATCCTGAGGGTGTGGGGAAAAAAATCAATACTGACTACTTCAAAAGCTATAAATGCAATTTCTCTAGTTAAAAAAATAAAAGGAGGGAGGAAAGGAAGATCAAAACAGCTCAGAATTGTTTTATGAACAATAGTAATATTTTAAAACATTAGGGTTTTGTTGATTCAGCATTGAAAATTTTTTGTATTATAGGACACATTTTAGTTACTCACTCATGATCACTCTGTATCAGGCTGTGATCATCACAGCATTTAAGTTCAGATTTAACAATTCTGCACACTCACCCTGAGAATGCACTCACACAGCTAAGGTATGTGGCACCTCAAAAATTCCAAAATGAAAATATATGTTAAGAAATACAAAAGAAGTTTACAGACCACTTTTCATCTTTTTTTAAAGCAAGATAAATCACAATTTTGAAATAATAAAATTTGAAAACCTAAAAATTAAACAAGGCTCCAAAAATTCTCCTCACAGCAGTGTGTATTGAAACTACTCATGAGATGAACATACAAAGGTCTTCTTTGATCCTAAGTAGTCTTGGCCTGTTCCTACTGTGACAGTAACTTCAAGGTTAATATTTCATTTTCATATGCAGTTTCCCCTACTTCCCATACCATTTAGTCATCTTTGAACAGTATCTTTTTAACTTTACCTTGCAAGCCGCAATGTGTGCGAAAGATCAGAATGGGAAACAACAGGATTAAGAAACTGTCTTTCTTCACAGTATCAGTCAGTGTTTACCTAACATGCTGGCCAGCCAAGGAGTATTCCCATGGATCAAAAAATCAGCTGTATTAGTGGATCACAGTTCAAAGCCTGAAACTTAACATCTGAGTCTGACCATCCTAATATACTGCCAAAGTCAAACTGACCTGTACAGAGTCTGGCTGGGATGGAGTTAACTTTCTTCACAGTAAAGTACATGATGCTGCTTTCGGATTTGTTTCTGAAGCATGTTGATAACAAATGAGTTTGGCTACTGCTGAAGAGTGCTTGAACAGCCTCAGGGCTTTCTCTGTTTCTCACTCTGACCCCACAGAGAGTACACTGGGAGGCTGGGAGGATGCAGAGCCAGGACAGCTGAGCCAAACTGACCTAAGGGATATGCTCCACCATACAGCACTGACCTCTTCCCAAGTAACTGTCATGCATGCTGAGTCTGCTTTCCAGGAAGTGGCTAAAAATCTGGCTGCCAATGGGAGCTTGTAACTAAGTCTCTGGTTTTTGCTTTGCTTCAATGTACAGCTCTTGCTTCACTTATTGAAGAGTCTTTATATTGACTCATAAGTTGTCCTCATTTTGTTTTGCTGACTGTCACCTTTATCCCACTGGGGGACAAACGATTCAGGGGTTGGTAGGTGCCTACTGGGTCAGCCCATCATAGGATTCCTTTTGGAATCAATTGTCACATTAAGAAGGAACAAAATATTAAGTCATTCATGTCTATCCCAGAGAAGCTGGGCAGAACAACCTTGGGTTCTATTTAGAAATTGGAACCTTCAAAACTGTGGAATTCAGGGTTCATTCAGGCTTTTTGGCCTGCAGATGTATAATGAGTTAACAGGCTTTACTTCCCTCTTTTGCTTCTGTGTTTTTACAGTAATAAGGATCATGGCTGGCATTTCTCATCATATTTTTCATTTTGGTAACTTTTACTTTTTTCTTCATCTACAGTTGCAAAATTAATTTCAGCACACTTAATTTCATTGTTAAATTTTAATTTTATCCACTTTTGCTTATTCTCTCATTCTCCCTTCTTTTTCCCACAGCTTCTCAGGCTGTGGGAAAAAGAAGAGAGAATGAGAGAATAAACAAAAGTGGAGAGAATGACTGGAGTTACACTTTCTAATCTATACAATATTCTCAAAAGTTCTTAAAAGCTAACATCTTGAGAGGAGTCACTGTTTTAGCCCAAAGCACTCATGGTGCTCTGGTTGATTAAGTCATAAAACAAACAATGATATCACTTGCAGTAACCATCAATTCCTTTTGATAACACAGAAGTGGAAGATATCTGCAGGAAATCTGTCAGTTCTAAGGTTCCTCCAATAGTACAAGAAGCAACATTTAAATGATTATCCACAGTCATAGCAACTCACACAGTTTTGGTGCTTTTATTATGTACAACTCTTTCCCATTTGACTCTTCTCACCAACTAATTCAAAAAAGAAACACATTTCAAAAGTCATTCCAAGAGACATCTTTTAGACAACATTCTGAATTGTGAAATAGTAGCTGCAAGAAGCAAATAAAGTTAGATTTTGCAGAAAAGAAATGTAGCTTAGAAGAATTTTCAGCATTCTTTGACTAGAAAAGCTATTTCTGATCTTTCTGCTTAGAGCCAGTCAAAATGAAAATAAACATACTGAGACAGAAACACCTCTAGTTCTAGTGCTTCATGCACAAACTAATATTGGCAATTGTTATATGTGCTGATTTAATGACTGGAATAAAACAAATACTCCTGCAGGCTAAAAGTACTGTTTTCTTGTGTAAAAAGTACAAATGTGCACCAGTAACTTCTGAGCCTTTGCATTTTCTATCCTGCCAATCACTGTAGTACTTGAATGTCTCACAAGCTATGCTTTTGTATTTAAGAAGAGAAAGTACACAAAACAAAATACTCTCTCCCAATGTATGTTCATTCTCTGTTCACAAGAGAGCTGTCAGCTACCTGGAATAAGTCACTGCCCAACATCAAGAACACAAAATTTCAGCTGTCTCTACAACATACCTTGCTTTGACTCCTGACCTTCCAGCTTGCTGTCTTCTCTCAGAGAAGAAGTTGAGTCTATACTGTTGTCCTGTCTGGAAACAATTAAGAACACATTTTAATCACCATAATTTAAAATTTAACAGAACATTTTTTAGAAACTAAAAAATTATCAGGGGGTAGGCCAATAAGCCAGCTACAGTAGGAATAAGGGCAGAAGAAGTACAGAGAGCTAATGTAAGCACTTGAAAATAAACTTTTTTTGTTTTGCCTTGTGATACACAAGGATAAAGCATTTATTTCCACTGCATCCTTGCCTTTTAGAGTAACAATCCTCAATGGCTGTAACTGAGCAACCACAGGTGAGCAGTTATAAGGGAAAAGCTCCTCATATTAGGAGCTTTTCTGTAAAACTCAAAATAAATTGTCACATAATTAGATTGTTTGGAAAAATGATAATTTCTGCTGCACTCAAATACTATTTACTGTCTTATTTTGAAAGTAAAAAATTACTTTAATGAAATTATCATCAGACCATCACTAACCTCACCTAAACCAGAATCTTCTTGCTTCACAAAGGGATACCTTTTAAAACAGAAGTATTTACAACTCAGCTATTACAGTTTATTCAGTACTCGCATTTCTCTATTTCTCCTACTTAAAGACTTCTACCCTTGATGTGTAGGGCTTCAACTCTTACACAAGTGTAAAGAAGAGACACTTCAGTGAAAGGTTAATGTCCTTCATGTACTTCACTCATACTAGTTACACAAATTGTGAAAACATTCAGGAAGAGCACAGGTAGAACAATCCAGAATCACAGGAAAAGTTCAATTGCCACATCCAGTGAGCATTTTGACAACAGAATTGCCAAATTTCTAAACTGGAGTTAGTGTATCATTGGTTTCATCTGTATTAATATGGAATCAATGCACCTCTCCTGGCCATGGGAACTTAACAACTCTATAAAAAGGAAGCAGTATTCTGGTGTCACAGATGTAAATATAATGACTAACAACTTGTTTCTCAATAATGGCCTTTAGGGCTTTCCTGAAAGTGAACACAGATCTATTTTCCTTGTGCTTTACAAGTTGTGTTTTTTCCCATATGCCCAATGGTTTTACCAGGAGGAGGAACACCACAGTATTTCTAGAAATCACGGTCTGAGAGGAGAGGCAGTTATTTTCATTTCTATTTCCTTTAATGAAGCGGCAAAGGCTACATCAACAGATTCTCCTTTTTTCCCCTACTTTTTTTAGCTATTGGAACATAATTGTGTAAAGTATCATCAATAACTCATTAAGGACAATAAAAAGGTCAATACACTTGCCTAGCAAACCCTGGATGTGAACACCAGTCTGTTCTGCCTATTTATTGAGCCACATGGCTACACTAACTCCTTTTCCAAATTAGATGAGAATAATCACAATATGCCTACACACGTATAGGCAACTGCAACCAACAACTGCAAAGAGGACCACAAGTCAGATGGGCCTAAAGGACTGTGCTGCCAGAAATCAGACAGAATGAAAAATATACACCTTCTCCAGGATTTTCAGTGTCATGCAGCTGTAAGTAGATGCTTGTAATTCACTAGCAAACCTCAAGCTAGTCTAGACAAGAAGCAGGATGCAAGATCTGGGACTAAGGTATGAAGCAGACTGTAAAATCAGAGTTAAAATTCCAAAAGCAGAGTAGGTTCTGCAAGTAGGCAAATTTTGGGATGATAATAGAGCACTAGATACCCCAGAGATGAACAGCTTCAGCTACCAGGGACAATCACAGGCCTACACCTGCCATCAGAGAGGCCTGCATGCACATGTAGTCTGAGCAGCAACAGCAACAAGGATACAAACCTTGTGGGCTTCTGTGCCAGCAGCCAGGGAGAGATGTGGATTTCAGACCAGCTACTGGTTGGCAGATGTGGATGGAACCACTTGGTTTTTGGCTTTTTTTTTTTGAGCAACTTCTAACAATTTGCTGTATCTAGCTACTTAACTCTTGACCAAAATTAGGTTGTAATATACCCAGATCATCACTAAGAGCAGAAGCAGCTTTGGCTGCTCCTGTCTAATCCTCTTTCACATACATACTTCACCATTCAGAACTCAGTAGTCATGTTCACAAAGTGGACAGCAAAGTGTCCTTAAAAGCCTGATCTTGCACCAGTAGTATTCAGACAGTAGATTTCAGAACTCTGGTATCACCTTAATGTCTGATGAGGAACTGTAATCATCTCTTTCAGAGAAAACAAAGTGGCCACTATAGTTCAAACATTGGCTGTGAAATTATCCACAATCATTTTAACAGCCGTATTAAAAGAAATTACCAACTTTAAAAGAAACCACACACTGAAACTTGCAAAGTTTATTCCTGATGCTTTGACTTTAACAATAATTACAGCAAACCCATATTCCTTTAGAGACTACCTACTGTCAGCAAAAGAATTTTTATGACATGGGAGTACTTTTAGAGCATGTTTTACTCTCTCAGAATTGATTGGATTGGACTGCATTGCTGCTGAACCTTCATGACTTTGCTTTGTAGGCAAGCATTTTGCACCATCTACTGGTCCAACAAATGCATTTTAAGTTCATTGCTCAGTTTGGCTTTTAACTTGTTAGCCTTGTTTTATGTGTTTGCTAGTGAAAAATATTTTTTCCCTAATTATTTCTAGTGTGGCATACACGTAAGAAAGGGGGGTCTCCAAACAATGGGAGCAGAAGATATGTTATTCTAAAATTAAGGGACCTTATAAACACTTAATACTCTCTTTTTTCATGCTGTGCTGGTAAGTGACAATAGTAATTTAGAGTGTCTCCCTTTTGCCAGCCTTTATATTTCTCCCTCAAGATGACAGTTAAGTTCAAAGTCAATCTTCCAAGCAATAAACTCAGCACTTTTAATTTATTATTTTAAACAGAACAACATTTTCACAGTATGATATTTTCAGCAGAAAGAAGCTAACTACACTACAATTTTCTGAAAACAAATGTTGTAAATTTAAATTTACTTTACTTTATGTAGAGCATGCATTTCCATGTTGTCATGTGCCACAATAGTGTAATCCCTAACTGGGCTCACACAAATGGTTTCTGTACAAAATCTGCTACAGGAATTTGCACAGCTCTCAAAGCATCTGGGTGTGAAAGTGATTTGGTACCCAATTCCAGTAGATTTTGCAAAGTGGGGTAAAAACACAGCAAAGGTTAGGAAAAGGAGTACTGGTAGAGGAGCAGATGGCTAAGGATTGACAGTAGCTCTCCAATACTGGCGGCAGGGATACAAGGTTTCAGTGGTCACTGGGGTTGGAGACCAGAAGGAAAAGTATTATTCACCTAAATCTCCAGTGAGACTTGAGATCAGGACCTCTGTTATTTTTGACGTGATGCACCTTCCTGAATTAAAATTTGCCTTTGCACTCAGCTCCAGGCCTAAAAACCATTTCTAGAAGTCCCAAGCCCTTGAAAGATTCCTGCAAATTTTTGTTCCAAGGATAGTTTTCAATGACAAATGAGAACCAAAATAATTAACAAGCATTAAGTAGCAAGTTAAAAAAACAAAAGGGAAAAAAGTTCTTATGAAATAGTGCTTCTGAAGAAAGGTATCTCAAAAGAGAGGTGTTAATCAAATAGTTTAATGAGCTATGCAAAGTCCATCAGTCCTGTTACAGGTGATGTTTGAGGACACCACAAGAACAGAAGGCAGTGGAGCAAATGAGCCAAATGCTGATGTATCTGTTCAGTGACTCATGCAGCTGGTAGTTACAGAGATTCCAAATGCTGAAAATAACCAAATTGTCTTACAGGGGTAAATGTCAGATGGTAATTGCTTGCTTGTGAACACGCAGCAACCAGGAGCACAACACATCAAAACAAGACAAAAGTTTTATCTGCTAACCTTTCCAAAAGAAAACAAGCAAACTACACTTATGACTGCAAAGTAGTAAAACACCTCTAAATTCTTGAAATAGCAAATATTAAACTGCAACTTTTCACTCAGGGAAAAAAATGAGCCCAATATGATTTTGAAGGCAGAAGATCATTTACTCAGACTCATATGAACATTGATCATTACAATGACACTAGAATGTTTGTTCTTTTAATGTTTTACTAACACAGCATGTAACTTACTTTCACTTGTTCTGCTGAAGGATATTTGAAGAATTAATTCAGGTAAAAGAAAAGAAACAGCTCAAAAACATGCTAACACTTCTTGAACAAGATGAAGAATACCTACTTGGTTTTTCCAAGACATCTGACTCCTGTCAATTAAATATCTGATGTTTAGCTGGAAGCTTCATATACAATAATTCTCTTATTTTAACAGTATTCAATTTCAGACAGTAATACAGAAATGCAAGAAAAATCTGTGAACTGCATATTCAAAAACCTATACAGAGCTGCCAAATAACAAAATTTATCTATTGCAACAGCATGTTCCAGTTACTGGCAAATATAGGCCCTGCTTCTTCAATTCTTCTGCATGGTTATTGCAGGATTTATAATGCTTCACACAGAGTAAGCTGGTGATAAAATAAAAGAGTAAATGTTTTACATGCTAATGTAAGCATGTGAAGCATTTACATAGTTGAAATTCATGAAAAGCCTCAGGATTTCCACTTCTAGTAACAGAATGAGGATATGTGCAAAAACAAAAAACAGAAGATACAATTTACAATAAGATGCAATGCCATCTAAAAGTTTCACATAAAGATCTGAATTTTGCAAATTTCCTGTAACTAGAGAAACTTCCCTAAATTCCTGCTACTTTTAGCTGGTACAGACAGGAAACAGCTCTTTAGACACTGAGAGTAATTTGCTTATTTAATTTGAAATTTCTCTAGATGTATTGATTCAAGCTTTCTGAATTTCAGTTGATATACGCAGATGGCTAAAGGCACATTTGTTGAATTTATGTTTTTCAAAGGACGATAACAAAAGAAACAAAGGGGTGTTTCCAATCAGTTAAAAAAACACTTTTGATGAGAGTACAACTTGCTACTCACTTTTTCCTTTTCCACATTCACATTTGAATGTAAAAACTAATACAAGTCAGACTTTAAACAAATAAGGTACAATAGAATGCAGGAAAAAGAAGTAATTTACATGAAAGCCATATGCAATGAAGATAACCTACGAAGAACTAACAGCGATTATATAAATAGAGAAAATGCCTTTTTTGTTATGAGAAGTCTTTTCTATTCCCAGGGCAAACAAACTTGCCTACTTAAATCCAGATTAGAAATATAATTAATGATTACAAACAATGCTTGTTTGTCTTAGAAATGCAGTTTTCAGTATTTTTTCACATTGGCATCTTAAGCCTCCGTAGTGGCTAACTTGTTGAAACACAGTTTTCTGAAGTTTTGAAAACTTGCATTTATAATTATTTACACGCTGGTTATAAAGAAGCTGGCCCAAGGCCCAAAGATTAGACTACTTAGTAAAAAGTGCTTGTGACTGTTTACTGTTGTAAAAGCATCGTATTGGTTCTACTTACTGAGCACTGAACTTCAAGATTAACATAAAACCTTAATTCTCCTCATTTTCTCCTATCCCTTTATTTTTCTATCATCCAAACAGCTTTTCTGTTTTGCTTTCTTTTTGTTAATGCTACCACACAGCTGAACCGTGGAGCCAAGGTTCTCAGACAGCACCCACTGATGCAGAATGCTATTTTTGAAAGGGAGAAGAAAATCCCCAATTCCTAAAACTTGTCTGCCCAGCATGGAGGGGTCTGAAACCCTAAACTATCAGGATACAGATACAAAAACAAGAGGCACCTCAACCACTGTTTGTCACAGGAAGCAATTTGCTCTACAACTATGAACAACATCTCTCAGTTTCTTTTACCTTTTTGAAACACAATTTCTTGATTTTCTGTCAGTTACTGAAACCTTCCTAACTGGCATGGGAAAATAGGGTAAGTGTCTTTGATATCCACTAGCTAAAAAATGGTAAATTCTGATTTTTCTTATTTGATAGTTTTATTAATTAATTTCCTCTTTTTAGATTTTTACCAGCTCAAATAATTTCCATATAAGAAAGAATTTACACAGTCTACTATATCAAAGGATCATAAATACATGTCTCAACAGTAGCTTTGAAACATCTTGAAGACACAGAACAACCTTACTGAAATCCAGCAGCACTACTCCTGCCATACATCTTGGAGATAAAGAACACTTAACATATTTTGCAATAGTAAATAGCTTGTGAGTTAGACCTTAAACAAAAACCCAAAACAACACATAATGTCTCGGGGAATCAAAAAATTTGGGTATTTTTTATGGCTTATTTAGCCAGCAAGTCTGCCTTCTCATTCTATTTAGAACTTCACTGGCAAATTATCAATCACTTTACAGAGACTATTCCACATAGAGACCACTACCCTACATAAAGAAACCCAAATTTTAGTATATTTAGTAGTTTTTTAATTTTTCTATCTGCTTTTCCAAGCAGCCAGCAGAGGGCAATGTCCAAAATAAGAAAACTAGTTTTTAAAACTGATGACCCCGTTCATAGATCACATAGGCAACAAACAGCACAGCAGAATACATTAACAATGGGCTCCAAATGGAACCTTAGAAGAAATAGTGTCAAAGGGTATTAAAACTGTATCACAAGGAAAAGAATGAAAACTAACTTTGTATCCACTCCATTTTCTAGTATATTTGTATGATGAGAAATCAAAGAAAATTATGTGATAACTTCATAGTTTGTTTTGAATCAAAGACAGGATCAGAAATTAGGTCTCTGCTAAAGAAAAATACTGACCAGAATGTGAAAGTTGAATTAGTGTTACTACCTTTCCCATCCATTTGTTCTTATTTAGGAGGTTTACATAAACTAACCAAATCAGTAGCTAGGAGGTTACTTTAATCCGCCCATCTCTGGTGCATTGTCTTGTACTGTCTCAGAGGTTTATTAAGTGTGTCCTGAACCTGTGGACCAGCTGTAATCAGGTCAGTGTTGAAAACATAAAAGCTTATTAGTCTTCTAGAAACAAGTTAGCCTCACTAAATTTGATGCATTGTGCATGGTAACTAGTAACTTTCCTTTTCCCTTCACTAAAGTAGTGAAGGGAAACTATCAAACAGGTGAACTCCTGACAAAGAAATGGTCTTTAAAAAACAGAGAAGCATTTTAAGGTCAAGTGCTGTCTTTTACAAAACTGCCTGATACCAAGGTAAGAGCAAGAGACCAGAAACCTCTGTTCTTGAAACTCTAGATTCTGTAGCACTCCTTATACAGAGTGCATTGAACCGGTGAGTGTCAGTGCTGCTTCAATTGCAGCAGGAATGAAGGACCAGAATGAAAGTTGAAAGACAAGGGATAAATCTCAGTTGAACTGAAAGTACACTTAAAACAATTCACTGACTTAAGTGGGAGGGGTTTACTACTTTAGCTCACACCAAAGACAACCTAAATCACACCACTTCTGTTGCAGGACACAAGTATGAAAATTTAATTACCACAACTCAGCTGCTATGCCTCTATGAGCCCAGTTATGTGGTCAAGACACACTTAAAGTCACAAAGTGACAACATCATGTCTGTAACTTTAGGGCTTGCTAGTAGCCACACTTCATTGTCATTTAACTAGAGTAATTAATTAAGGATATAACAACTGCATCTTTCAATTATATATTTGATCATTTCTCATGAAAAATCTCTGAATTGTTCAGTCTCCTTAAATTAAGTTTAAGTGTTTTATCTTTTACTCACTGACTGACTGAATCACCTCCAGTCTTGTCTCCTCCATCTGCCTCCTCGTCAGTATCAGAATCAGCTCCAATCTTGCCTAGATATACACAGTTTCAAACATGAAAATTTAGGAAAGTGATATAATTAATACTACATACTTAGGTTTACTTTTAATTATTAACTCTATTGCAATCAGCAGAAGAGGATTTTTCCCAGTTAAAGCAGAAGTTCTAAAATTAGACTTAGTCAAAACCAAAACCCTTATTTGGGAGTCTTCTGTTGGCTTCACATACATTTATACTGGATTACAAAAAATCTGATTAGCTACTCTGATTAGTACAATACTGTGGGTGCTAAAAATAAAGTACAGAATTAACAGCAAGATACTCTGGAGCACTCAGACTTGAAGAGCTTTTCTTCATTGACAAGACAGCAATATGTTTACAAATAAGTCCTATATTCCTTAAATATCACGCGCAAGTTTAATAAAGCTGTGAAAAGCTGGAATGTCATTTCCTTAACCAAAGTACATGAATTGTGTGTCTTGGAGGAACTGAGCAATTATGGATACATTAGTATATACTTACTAGTGTGTGTCTGTATATATACATATATATTTTTAAGTTGCTAAAATAAGTGCAAATTCAGTTGAGGCAGATTATTTTCTGGTATACAGTGGAGTCTAAAAGTTTCATTCATACCTTCAAGTATCTTCAACAGTTTTTTTTCAGATAACAGCTCCAACTGCTCCATGCAAAGTCTTTTGATTTCATCCATGGAACAGTTCTAAGAAGACAGATAAGACAAACCACAAGCTACTAAAAATTTCTGAGAAGAGAGTAATTAAAGTTGTAATGAAGATCTAACTTGGATTAAAGCCTCCCCCATATTCTGATCTGCACTGATGCAACTGCTGTAGAAAACCAGGTGTTTCAGTAATGACAAGAAATAGCATATGTGTGGGTTTCATCTGAAAAATTAAGCAATATACACTCTATCAGTTACCCGACCTATGGCTCGGAGTCTTTACTGCAGCTACAACACTGAGCACTAGAAACACCAGATTGTATGTGTGAAGCATGGAACAGCAAACAATTGTAGACTTCATTATTCCTAGTTTTGCACCACTAGGGGGAAGCTGGGTTATGTAATTAAGCTTGCAAAGATCAGAGGGAACTGTTGAACGGAAGTCCAAAAACTGGAGAAAATAATCCCACTGACAACACACCAACAGATGCATATCACAACACAGAAAATAAAGCAAGCATGTAAACTGCGATTCATTTCTCATGCTTGGTACATACCATACATTGCCACAGATTTTACTGGTATTCCAGTCACCTTCAAATCTCATACCTCTTGGTGACATTTGGGAATTTCCCATTTTCAAATGAGCTCTGATACCATGTACAAGTACCAAAATTAGGAGCTGCTAAACAGGTTGTAACACCCTCAGTCATATTTTAAGTTTGGTTCTATACTATGAGGCCATTTCCCTACAAACTCAGTAATGTCTTTCCTTCCAGACTCTCAACTTCTTCTTCTGCCAGAGATGAGAAATGGATGAGCCTATGTGCAATTTACCATGTGTTTAAAATGAAGTCCTGTCTCATTTATATTATTAATAATACAACTCATTAAGATAAAACTTTGAGATAAAAAATTTACAACTACCAACAAGCATTACACAGATGACATTTCACTTGCAGCCTCTTCTTCTGTACAGGCTGCTAGCCTAATTTATTTTATGTCCTACTTAAAAGTTCACAAGAGTCAAAAAGCATTTGATCCAAGCCAGTAAAACTCCACCTTTAGTCCATAGGAGTTACAGCTTCAGAAGCTGTTTATGAAGAATGGGCTTTATTTTCTTATCTCAGACATTGCTTTAATACCATACAAAGAAAATCAGCTGCCATAACCAGAAATCAGTATTTTATTTACAAATCAGCATATTAGTTAGTGAACAACACTACTGCATTTACTCCTCATAACCACGAAAATCCTTTTGCATAGAGGGACAGTCTAAAGCTAAACCTGAAGTTTAGAAATGATTGAGCAGTAGCAAAAGGAGTAACCTGGAATAACAACAGCAAATCTTTAAAAAGTCTCACTTCCAGACACATGACTGGGAGACTGCTTAAGAAGAGTACTTGACTTCATAGGAACTTCTTTAGTTGAGAAATATACAGACAGTTTTTAAAATGTAAATGCACTAGGCTTGAGAGAGAAGTATTTTTTGTTACACAAGCATTCAAGATCATGGTAAATATATAAATGGTCAGTGTATTTCAGTACCTTTAAAGTATCAGGCAGCATCTTCTGTAGTTTCTTCTCCCCTATGACACAGAAACACTGTTGAAGCATTTCCTTTTTGTCCCCAATGTAGAAACTGACAGGTTTGAGTGACACAGTGAGATCTAATCCTCCTTCTTCTATATCACTGGGTTGTTCAGCTTCTTCCACTTTTTCTCCAGAGAGTACACTGCATTTTGTTTCCTAAAATCAAAGAAGGCACATTTTCTAGTGAATTAGAGAAGGCAGAAAATTACAGCTTCACTTGTGCTTGCAATAAGTTTCCCTTCATAAACGCAAGGTACATCTTAACGTGGGCTTCTCAAATTCCAGTGTTTCATATTGCAAGGTAACTGCATTACAGAAGTTACATATTTTATTACTGAAAACATTATTGTGCTAGGAAAATTTTTTAAACCTCCATAAAGTGAAAATTACTCCTAAATATTAACTGGGAAATACTATCTGCAAATACTTAGCAGGTGCTTACACATGAAGGCATGCTTTAATGCAGAAGAAATCCATCTGATTAGCTGGGCAGTTAAATCATAAAGCTCATCATTTACAGCTACCCTGCTAAGATTGGCATACAATCCCCTGTCTGGCAGAGTCTTCACAGAATCAAAATGGGCTTCCTATTAGAAAATGCATCCCACATACATCAGCGGAGGACCTCTAGAATAAAAAAAAACTAATTAAACAAAAAAACAAACAAAAACAAAACCCAACCAAACAAAAAAAAAACAAAACAAAAAAAACAAAACAAAAAAAAACCAAAAAAAAACAAAGAAAAAAACCCCAAACCACCAGCCAGAAATATATTTTGTCAGCCTTAGCAATCATTTAGGCGTGCACAACCAATTTTTGCACACCAACATATTCTTGAGAAGACTCGCAAGGCCAGAAGTGTGAGAACCATGACGAGCGCTACCCGAGCTCGTACGCCACACCCCTCACACCTGGGAAGCACAGACCGGCGTCCCCGGGATGCGCGCCCGGGCTCGGCCGGTCCTGCCGCTGCCTCTGCCTGTGCCTGGGCCGCCCATCTTCGCGCCGCCTTCCCTGCAGCTGCACTCCGACCAGCGCGACTGAGCCCGGCCCTTCCCGCAGCCAGCCCCGGCAGGGACCGCGGCCAGGCCTCTGCCGCCGGGACGCGGGACCGGGACCGGGACGCGCCCGGGAAGGCAGAGGCGGCACGGCACCGGCCAGACCCCGCGACTCCGCCCGCGCTACCTCCAGGGCACCGTGGCTGGACTCGGTGCTCCGCCGCTTCCTGTCGCTGCCGTCCGGTCCCGGGGCTCCCTCCGGGCAGCAGGAACGCGAGCGGCGCCGCTTCTTCTCCTTGGAAGACTTCCTGCCCGGCATGGCCGCGCCGCGCGCACGCCGCACGCCGCCGCGGCAGCGCCGCTTCCGGCCGGGAATCGCGCGCAGCGCCCCCTGCCGGCCCCGCGCCGCGGCCTCCGCGCCCGAGGCTCGAGATGGAGGCGCTGGGAATGTACGGGCGGATGGCCTGGGGTGAGCGAGGCCCCAGTAAAAATGCAGCCACGCGTGGGCACGGGACCTCTTTACACAGGTGGAAGATGTAGAAAACACATCTTTCGAGGAGCTGGGGTTGTTTAGTGTCCAGAAGAGGAGGCTCTGGGCTGACCCCATTGCTCTCTAAAACTCGCTGAAAGGAGAGTCTCCTGCCGTGCCTGCAGTGAGAGGACAAGAGGAAATGGCTTCAATCTGAGACATGGGAGATTCAGATTAGATATTAGGAAAAACGATTATCACCATCAGGGTGGTCAGACATTGGAATAGGTGTCCCTGATGGTGGAGTCACCATCCCTGGAGGTATACAAGACACGTGGATCTGGTGCTGGTGGTGTGGTTTAATGCTTCAGTGGTTACAGTGATAATGCTGGGTGGATGGTGGACTTGATGATTACTTAAAGTTCTCTTCCAACATGGATGATTTTACGATGATTCCACAGTTCTATCCTCTGTAGCTACTGTTTAATTCTGACCTTTTCCCTGACTTTCAACCTGTTTCAATGCTGCAAGGACCTGCAAACTCCTCCCTTGGCAGCTGTTTGCCATTGCCAATAACTTTGAAACAACAATAACTTTTCCCATGATACTTACTGTGTACTGGAGAAATTCTTTCATGGGATGCAAACAATTAGGAATTGCAGCAGAGAAGCCTGTTTAAGGCAGGCAGCTGCTTTGTGCAATTCACTAAGACACTGATCAACTTTCTGCCACCAATAAGATTAGTTACGGAGGGAACTCAGTCTATTATCCTAAAGAGGTTAGTGAAAATTAAAGACTATGGTAGATGAATGTCCATAATTAGGCAGACAGCATTTGTATTAAAAATCTTCTTTACTGTGCAAAGATGTGCAATAATTTTCTTCTTTATTTAACACAACTGAATGTCTGTTCTTTTTTGTCTGCTTTCTTTCTCAGATTCAAACATATTGCCATCCAGTTTGCCCATATTGGGTTGGATCTTCAGATGGGAGGTACTGGCCCATTTAGGCAGAAGTCTGCTGAATGCAAGTTGTATAAAACTACTGGTATCAGAACTGCTGTGGGAAGATGATATATATTTGCATAGGCTGACACTGTTTCCAAAAGGGTTAGAATTTATTAAGTACCATCAGTTGTTTTTTCAGCAAGCCTGAGTCCCTGCAGAGGCAGAACAGTATCAGAGTTAATCCTGATTAGCCTACGTTGTTAAAATTACCTGGATTGTGGGAATAGATGTTCATATTTACCATCAGCAAATAACAGCCTCAGCATACTCTGAAGGTGGCAGATGTAATGAGGAAACACTGAGGAGGGGTCTAAGTTTGGGATGAAAATGGGATCCCTTTAGCAACTGTAAGGAAAATAAAAAGTTTAGCAGTGTATGCAAACTGTGGCATGCAAACTGTGTTTTAAATGAATGTAGAATATAGAATACAGAAGCTAACTGGGCTGCTGATAAAAAGATTTGTAACAATATTCGAATTTATGTACTCACAGGCTTCAAATTCTGCTGTCAGAAAGGGGTAGTTCATACTTTAAACTGTTTTTTAATGTTTTTTGTACAGACCAACAGTGGTGTCATGAACATTGCAAATTTGTCTTTGCAACTGGAAAGTCTAGAAACAAAATTTCCCACCAAATTTGAAAACTCAATCTCTACAGTGAATAAGCATCAAAAAACCACTGTAAGAATAAGACATCTGAAAACAGCCAGATACTCTTCAGGCTCTCAACAGTTGCATAGGGAATCTTGTTGCCAAACATTTAATTTCAGTCTATTTAGTACACATTTTGAAAAGATGGGAAACATCTACTGTTCCTAGACTTTGGATTTTTTGATGGTTTAAGGAGAAAGTGACAAAAAGAGGCAAGTGATCACAGCATACAGTAATGGATCACATTCAGCTAAGAAGCTTAACTAAGTATTTTCAAGCAAAATACTTCACACAATTGAAACTAGTAGGCTATTACATTTCCTAAAGCATTTGGAGTTGCCTCTGTAATACTGATCTATGGTAAGGCTCCTCCTGTAGATTATTATAGCATGTTACATTATAAAAGTGTCACTGCATCCAATTATCCATCAATGTACAGCTCAGTGTACACTGCTTTTAATGAAATAGGTTTGCAGACTGAAGTTAGTCTATTTCTGGCTGTAGCCTGAACACGACTGAGTAATTAACACTGCTTACTTAGGTCCTGATATGAGCAAGGTGCATCATAATAACAGACATTAAAGAAACCTTGTGATAGATTAGACCAATTTGTGTTACTGTAGTCTTCTTCTATCTTGGAAAGTCCAGCAGTTGGTGGTGACAGAAGTCTGTTTTGACTCCTTATTTAGTTCCTTAGGAAGGCATTTTATACTTGTCCTGAGCTTTGGCCTAAGTAGATCCAAAGTTTTTCCGCTTCATAAAACCCGAGCCATGCCTAACAGCAATGCTTTAATGTGAGATGCTACTGTGTGCTGTTGGCTATTCTTTCTAAAATCTTCGTATCTCAGAAAAAGATGCCAAAAGAATTGTGTCATCTACTGAGATACTTTAAATTCTTAGCAGAAGACACAGCTTCTCTTTAAGGGGCTCTTGAAATCTCTCAAATGTATACTTCAACTATTCCCCTGATAAATGAAATCAGGAACACTTAGCACGCAGATCAACTTAGTTAAAATGTACTACTGTAGATAGTAAGCCAGCTCCCAGTTGCATGTGAGGCACATACTTATTTTCAATGGCCTCTGGTCTCAAAATTTTTCTCAAAATTTTTTTATTGCACCCTGTGGACCTCATGTCTGGCACATTTCCCACTACAGATATAACATTCTTGCACTGCAACAGTAATTTCATCCTGCTGACATTCCTAAGGAATTCTTCTTTTTGATGACCCCAGCAGCAGATTGTGCAGTACCCTTACATGCATTTATGTGTTTATGCATGTGGATGCTGACATGAACCACAATGGAGTTCTAAAGAGTGCCATTTAAAAGCAAAAGCAATTCCCCACTCCCTGTTTCCTCAGATGATGCTAGACCATGGATGGGTTGGTATCACAATACCCTGTGGCAGCAGGTATCTTTCTCTCCAAACAATCCTGGCCTGCTTTATCTCACCTAACACTTAATGCTGCAGTCCCCAGAAGGATTTTTTGCTGTGCCTCATCATTTCTCTGCAAGTTTAAGTGCATTTTGTAATACCTTTTAATATACCATTTCTTGGGAGTTGCCAGAGTATGTTTATTAATATAAACATTAATTTTTGGTCTGAGAAATTCGTAACAATTTTCATGTAAAGAGATAATCTGTAACAGAGCAATCCCACAATAATAAACCAAAAATATTAAGACAAGTATAATTTCTTAAAATAGCACAGGTACAAACACAGTTGAAGAGCACAACATTAGAAAGCTGAAGCTTCAAGAACAACTGTATAGTAGGCAACCAAAATTCAACAGACAGGCACATTATTTCACAGACAAGTTTCCTAAAGGTAGTTTCTTAGATGCTTTCCCAGGAAGGGGTTCATCTATCAAGCACTGTAAATCACAAATAATTTGTTGGACTGCCTCATATATGAACCTCCAATAGATCAAATCAGAAAGTGTGTGACTCAGACCATGATCAAGACTGTGAGGGTATTTATCTGGAAATCCATCCAAAGTGTAACTGTACAAGTGTGCAACTAAAGATCTGAGAGACAGAGTTTGCTGGAAGCAGTGCAGTAACTCAGTTCAGGTAGCTGGAGCAAAACAAAAGTTAAGAGCGCTTGGTCACAAAATTCTTCACATCTAATATAGGCAGGTATCATGGGGTGTGGAGTTCATGTGCCAGAATTTTGCCCCTTTTTTCCCATTTTCCATTTTATTAGTCTAATGAAAAATGCAACTTAAACATTGATACTCTTTAGCTCATCTTAATTCTGAACCCAATTGTAACGCTTGCAGTAGTAGAAAATAACATTTCCATTTTCTGCTGAACATCTTAGATCTGCTGGAGTAAGTTGCAAACTATTATTTTCCCTGTCAACAGTCACCACAGTTACAAAGTTAAAGCTGCTTCATAAGACTTGACTTCAAATACATGCAGTTTACAACAGAGTATTTCAGTTGTAAAGAGACCTGACCATTTCTGGACAAAAATTAGAGCCTCTTATCAAGGATTTTGTCCAAATGCCTCAAAACACTCAAAACACTGACAGGCACGGTACACCAACCACCTTTAGGAAGCTTCTTCAAGCTTCTGCTGCTCAATCTGTTCTCCAGGTGTAGCCAGCTCTCCCACTCTTCAAGATGACCTATTTTAATCATCTAGATTTTACAACATGGAATAAGACACCTGCTATTAACTAGTGGGGTATTCCTGTCCTTAGAAATTAAAAAGTCAAGATAAAGGCTTCTCTAGAAGTTCACGCCATTTTACAAGCTGCAAGATACAAATTTATGAGTGAAACACAACATCCATATGGCAGGTAGAGGTTCTACCCCTCAAAAAGTCATCTGGCCCTAGGTTAAAAGACATAAGAGCCATAAAAGTTAAGTTTCAAAAGGAAGTGGAGAAAGCTGCTGAAAAATTTCCTTACCAGGCTATTTGACAAGGGTTAATATTAACTGAGGTTAACTAATAAGCTTGTGAAATGCACTGCTGAACTTAAGGAGATCTCAGGGCCCCTCATCCACTGAAATAAACCCCACAGTGAAGAAACAGATGAATCATGCTGGAACACAGAATGTGTTTGGGGTGGGTGTCAGTTGACAGTCACTAAATAACAGCCATTTCCTACCTTTCTGTCTGGATGACCTGTAAGTACTGTTATAGTTTGACTTCTTGGTGTCCTATTTTTTATCTGAGCAATGTCCAGACTCCTTGCGAAGTTTCTGTGCAGTGATCACCTCAGAAAAGCAGTCCAATGACAAACAGTGAAAAAAGTTTTATTTGCTCTGTATCTTGCAACAAGTGTAATTAATCCACAGTATTTTCCCAAGTAGTCTCTCATAAACTATGAACAAAAGCATCTTTTTTTCTGCATACGCTGTCTTCCAAGTGCTAAGAAAATTATTATAACAGATTAAGAACAAACCTACAGCATTCTTTTACTTTAGCTGGTTCTGATACAGAGGCATACTTTTTTATTTGAGAATCAACTCCCAGAGACTTAGCTAATTGCACAGCATTTGTATCATCACTGATTAGCGTCCCAAGAGCCACAAGCAGTCTAAAAATAGCTTCAAGATCTTGAACAACTTCCATAACTGTGCTGATTACTGATAAACATTGAGCTTTACCCTCAACGTTGTTGACTTTATGTAAACATACAGCATAGTTCAATGTCAGTGTGGCCAGTGCAATGTGGATGTTCTTATTATTGCCTGATTTCGTTTCTATTGCTTGTGTCATTATTTCATCCCTCTGTTCCATCATGAGCTTCTGGCCTGCATGGCTGACAAAACAATTGCAAAGAGCTCTAAGTGCCAACAGCTGGTTTGCTTGTTTGCCTTTAGGATTCAGAAATTTAAGAAGAAGGATGATAAACTGTACATGCTCCTTTTCACTGCAGAAGTTTTCATTCACAGTGGGATGCCTGACAGACAATCTAAGAATGTCTAGTGCTGGAAAGACAATATCTAAGAAAGAAAACAAAACAAAATTTTAGTATTAATACTAAAATTATGTGTAAATTTATCAGTGAGTTTCTTTCAGATGCAGACCTTCTTAGCCCTGCAGGTTTGGGAACAGACAGTAACAGTTTCATGCGTAAGTAAAGCATAAATTGTTTCACATTCATAAAGACAAATATTGACAAATCCATTCTAGTCACGCTTCAATTATCATTAAAAAAATCCATAATCCTTAATTTAGGATTAACATAGGGCTTAAAATCTTTAAAATCTTAAAATCTTTTCTTTGTCTAAAATCTCAAAATTGATAACACTGAAGGTAAGCACAAGATATGGTAACTAATCCAAAAAAGTCTCTGAAAGCTGAAAGTTCGGTGATTGAACACCCCTACATAGACAACATCTTCCTTTGTCCTCATTCCATAACTTACAGTACAGTATAGGTACAAAACTGCTTACAAGAAAAGAAAATAAAAAATATATTCCAAACTGAAGAGCTGGAAATCATTGTAAGGAAACTGAACTGAAACCTTGAAATGTCCCCCCTTTCCCAGATTCTGAATACATATGTCTACTTGTATCTACTACTGGTATCCAATGCTTTCAACTAAATCAAAGCTAAATCTGCCCAACTACTTATCTTATTAGAGGTTTTTTTCCTGCATATATGCAGCATCTTCAGAATTAATGCCTTGTACAATACAAGGAGTCTGGAAGGTATGACATTGGCCATCACCAGCTCCTCTTTATGCAAAACTCTGTTTGATTAAGTGATATTATAAAATGAGCATGAATTTTTAATATTGAAATGTTTTTCCTATTAGTAAATCTTTAACTGCAATTTTAAAAAAGCAGTTAACTTTAACCATTCTCAGATATTTGTATATGCAAACAATCGTTTATTCCAGAATGTGCTGCAACAACCAAAATAGCTTTTCTAATCCATCATTGCTGACAATATTATTAAATGTAATTATATCACCTCCACTTCCATTCTTCCAGCATGTCATTTCACTAATGCAGTTTTGGTCATATAGCATAGCATCAGTAACTTTTTGTCTACCATATTAAACAGGAGCTAATTTTGATTTTTTTTCCCCCATAATTTATCTCATAATTTCATCTCTCATTTGCTAACAGCTTAGAATGCCAAGTTTGTATTTCCTTACTCTATTTCCTGACAAGTCTCACATCTTTTTGAGGATGGCCCTGCTAATGAAATAATCGTAATTGACTTTTATATCAAGTTTCCTCTTTATGTTAATTATTCTGCCAACAAAACTTGACAACCAATTACCAAATTTACCCCTGAAGCTGATCACTGCTGTCAGCACCTTTTATTCATCTTCTCTTTTCTGCTTGGGCTATCAAGTGTTTGGGACTGACTCTCTGTAACATACAGCATGACAAGACTTTTCATTCATGGTGAAATACTGATGAGATGACGCTAAACACAATTGCAAGAGTTTACCTTCTGGCCAGTTAATTGCTCTCCATAAAGTCTGAAGTTGCTGTGCTGTAGGTGTTTCCGCAGAGGTGTTGCATGTTGCAGACAGTAACTTTTCTAGGATTATCAAGTCATCTTCAGTAAGCTTATGTTCTTCAGCTGCACTGCCATTAAGTTCCTTTAATTTGCCTATAATACCAAAAGAAGAAGCACAACTTTCCCAAAACAGAACTTCAGAAATCAAGATCTTAAATGAAATGCTACAAAAGCACTTTATAAACAAGTAACAACTATTGCAATTGAGTGGGTTTTTTTGGGGGGGCAGATTTTTTAAACATGTTTTCCAATTTGATAATTTCTCATTTCAAGATTTTAATTATCACAATGATTGCTACTATTAATTCCACTTTAAAAATGCAACACAAAGATTCAGAATTTGTAGAAAAATTTTAGAAAATGCCTACATGAAGATAAAAATGCAGAAAGGAGTCATAAGAACAATAGAACTTTCATAACTGAAATACAATTTATTTTTGCTCTTTTATTAAGTAGCAAAAACATTAAAGGTGTATGTTCTTAGTGTGATCACAATTTTTTTATTTTTACTTCAATCATGTGGTCATGTTTTGCTTATGACATGCGCTATATTCAATCTTCAGTGTGATTTAAAAACCAAAGTATTAGATTAATATAATGGATCTAGCATTAAGGAAATGTTTTTTTAAAAAGCTCAGTTAGTCAAATTACTTCAAAAATATTTTAAAAAATCCTTAATATTAAAACACTGACCCAGTATCTGTGTAGGATTGGCCTGGTCAAAGGTGACAGCATCTTTCTTCGGAAAATAAATATTTTCAACTTTAGCTGCAGCTGACTGGTAGGCATCCATTCCTGCAGAAGGGCAATACAGAGCATTCAACAGTGTACCAAGGTGTCTGATATAGAATGATGTCCTAGCTGTAACTCTCTACTGCTGGACATTACTTGGAAAAATATCTCTTGAGAAAAACCCTGAATGTCTATGCAAACAGCTGTCATTTCTAACATTATTTTTACATTCAGGGGTTAAAACTGAAAGCAATATCTTCACAAACTGTTCCCCCCTCATGTATAAGTTTACAAGTTGAAATTATTAACAATCATTTCTTAATTATGTGAACTAAATACACAGTCACTTATAGCAACAGCTATTGTAGTTAACACATAAAAATGGCAAGGATCTTTTTAGGGAAAATATTCCTTTTGCCCCTGAAATCTTGTATTTTTATTATTTTCATAATGAAACTGTTTATATATTAGAAGACATTACATTGCAGACATGACCAAGTTAGGGCACATGCAATAGTAGCCTGAAATGTCTTTTTTTAATGAGCAATATAAAGCTTTTATCATCACCCATAATCATTTCTTAAACTCACAGGTCTAGTGGCTGATATTGTATAATGCCCATTAACTATGTATCAGTTTCTCTGATCAACAACACAACTACTAGGAGATCAATAATCCACTAAGATTATTATTATTATACATTTTAAAGCTTGTGTGCATGATTCCTGCATGCAAAGGAAGGCTCTCTTATGCCGCTTTTATGATTAATTTCAGAGTATAAGCAGCCTTAATCTGCTATTTTTAATAAAGTATGAATTTGCATCAATGCAGAATTCATGTTAGAGAAAAAAAAAAACAAACCCAACAATCAGGAATGTTTTTCACTGGCAGACATTTTCTCTTACCTGTAAATGGATCAACCCCGCCCACTGGAGGAACTGTGTTTGATGCTGAACCAGGAATGTACCGACCAGCTCCTAACAAAGATGTCAAGTTTTTAAACACCACCACCAATAAAGAGGTTATGTATACCTGTATTTAGTTACTACTTTTCAAACAAAACTATTAAAAATTATTTTTCTGCACTAAAGGAATTACGAAGTAGTGTTCAACACCTCTTTAAGGATTAAATCTCAATGTCTGTGTGAGGATGTTGGTGATGACAGCATTCACAAGTTGTGAGCCCACAGCTGGGAGATACTGTGTCATCACTGTGGGACACTGTGGGACACTGTGGGATCTGTGGCACTCACAGGTGAAGAAGGCTTCAGCACAGCAGATACCTTATCCATGACAAGTTCCAGCAGGAGGGCACACTGCCCTGGCAGTGATTCTCCTGTGGGAGTTGGACTCTTTCACATTGAGGCCTCAGTGAGGCCTCCATCTGCAGAGATCACAGAGCCACAAAAGCCATGGAGGAGAAACAGCTGGACACAGAAGCCTGTCAAGACGGGGAAGTAACAGCACAAAGGCTTCTGCTCTATCTGTGGATCTGCAACTGCAGAGCAGGCAGTGAGCGCTCTGGCACTGGTGTGGACCAACACCCAGCAGTGATGTGTTACAAGCCAGCTGAAACTACACCTCATGTCTGCAAAAACAGGAAAGGCAAGCAGCAGTGATGGGAAGCAGAGTAACCTCCTGCATGGTGGGGAGGCACCTGCCTATGCATATGGCCTGGTAACTTGTGAGCTATGTGTCTGCTGGGGCAAGGACTCAGGATGCCAAAGAGACACTGCCAAGCTTTGCCTGGCCTTCAGACTGTTATCCTGCTACTCTTCCACATGGCAATCAATGGTTTTGCCAAGGAGGTCTTGGAGGATTTCAAGAGTGATTAGAGGGCTCTAAGAACAAGGCTGAAGAGTTCAGGCCATTTCTTTGTTACTCTGAACAAAGCAGAAATGCTTGAATACAAATGGACTTATCAAGTGGGTCCGCAACTAACTGCATGGCTGGTTTTGCAGGCAAGATCTTGGCATCAAGTGATTACAGGAACCTCTTTGAGGACTAAGAGCTCCTAATCAGGGATGGGAGAAGTCTACCAATGCAGGGCTGGAACTAGGAATGTTTTTGCAAACACGATTATTAAATTAGTGAGGAGGACTTTACAATAGCTATACCAGTGAGGATCAGAATATAAAATAGGGGGAGCATGGTACCAACAAAGATCAGGTAAAAAAACCAAGTAAAAATGAAAATAGAGAACTACCTCTATAAATATACCTAATCTTGTGCGGTTCATGACTATGAAGTCTGGCAAAACAAAAGGTTTAGGTCCTTACTCTTCTGCTGTAGTGGACAGAATGACATGAGGCAGACCCAACAGCAGAGGGCTTACCTCAACTGAACAGATCTCGGTATGCTTTGCAGTGGCAGAGCCCACCTTACCAGGCTGTTCCACACTACTGCCCCAAACAGAGAACTGTAAGAAACAGCTGTCTGGGGCTAAACACATAATGCAACAGAAAACGACTGAAATGCGTATCTTAAGTGCTAGCCAGACAGATATGAATTTCACATTACCTGTAAATGGGTCTGCTCCAGGTATTGCACTTGATCCAGATGAAGAGCCTGGAACATAACGTCCAGCACCTAGTCAAACAGTGAGAAAAGCAATGACTATTAAACACACCTTGCTGTTATTAAAATCCAGAGAGGGGTAAAAAAGCTGGTGAAAGGTCTGGACTGCCTATCCTAAGAGGAGCAGCTGAGGGAGTTGGGGTTGTTTAGCCTGGAGAAGAGAAGGCTCAGGGGACACCATACCTCACTCTACAGCTTCCTGAAAGAAGGCTGTAGCCAGCTGGGGATTGGCCTCTTCTCCCGAGCAATGTGATAGGCAATGTGATAGGAGGAGAGGGCATAGCCTTGAACTGCACTGGGGGAGGTTTAGGTTGGACATGAAGAAGAATTTTTTCACAGAAGGGGTGATTAGATACTGGAATGAGCTGAGCAGGGAGGTCGTGGAGGTGTTAAAGGGAAGACTGAATGTGTGGCACTTAGTACCATGGTCTAGCTGACATGGTGCTGTTCAGTTATAGGTTAGACTTGATCTCAGAGGTCTTTTCCAAACTAATTACTTCTGGGACAACTGCAACTCTCAGAGTTACATATAAACCAACAAGCCTGTATTCCCATTTTCAGTCCCTTGCAAGAAAAAGATTTAGCTCAATTATGTTAATGCTATTTTCTTCAAAAATTCATCTTTGTGAAATTAATTGAATTAGTTTGTTTTGTAGATGTGATAAGCAGAATGTAATTGATTAACAATGGTTTAGCTTATCAGTAATCAACTTGTTCTAATTCCATTTCCTGCCTGAAAAAGGTAATTTATGTATTTCACATTTATGTATTTTGACTAATTCTCTGGCTAAATTTTTGTATTTTATTAATTGCCCAACAGCATCTGGCACTTCTTGTATGAAAACTGGACTTTTCTTTCACTGGAAAAAAAAGACTAGACTGAAAAATACGACTGGCTTGATTAGAATTTTGCTGAATATTCTTTGTTTTTTGGGTTTTTTTTTTTCAGAACGAAAAAAAACCCTTTGCCCTCAATCATTTAAAGATATGAAAGTATCTGTAGAAGAAGTTCAAGACCTACAACACTGAAGTCTGCCTGGGCAGACAATTCTATGACGCTCAACAAGGACAAGTACTGGGGTCCTCCCCCTGGGTCACAACAACCCCGTGCAGAGATACAGGCTGGGGGCAGAGTGGCTGGAAAGCTGCCCAGAAGAAAAGGACCTGGCAATGCTGATCATCACCTGCCTGACCATGACCCAGGAGTGTGCCTATGTAGCCAAGAAGGACAACAGTACCTTGGCTTTTATCCCAGCAGGACCAGGGCTGTGACTGTCCCTCTGTACTTGGCCCTTGTGAGGCCACACCTCAAATCCTGTGATCAGTTCTGGGCCCCTCATGACAACAAACACATTGAGGTATTGCAGGCAAGTCCAGAAAAGGGCAATGCAGCTGGTGAAGGATCTGGAGCACAGGTCTTATGAGAAGCACCTGAAGGAACTGGGGATGTTTAAGTGGTGCAGGTGGACCTTACTGCTCTCTACAAGAATTTGAAAGGTATCAAGGTGGGCGTCAGTCTCTTCTCCCAGTAAACGGATGCAAAGAAGTGGTCTCAAGCTGCACCAGGAGAGGTTTAGATTTGATATTAGGAAAAAGTTCTGTACTGGAAGGGTGGTCTGGCATTGGAATAGGCTGTCCAAGGAAGTGTCTGAATCGTCATCCCTGAAGTATCCAAAGAACTATGCAAATATGAGGATATGATTTAGGGGTGAACATGGATGTGGTCAGTTAATGACTGAACTCAATATTCTTAGAGGTCTTAGTGATTCTATGGAAGTGAAATGGATTGGAACAACCATGGCCAGAGGATGGTGGCCAGTGCTACTACATTTACTGGAAGCCAGCCACTGGTGGTGTACCCCAGGAGTCAGTACTGCATCCAGTTCTGCTCCACATCACTAATGATGGTGTCAAAAATCAGTCAGAGTGTGCTGAAGACACAAAACTCGGAGGAGTATCTAATGTCATCATTTAAGTTTAAAATATTTACCTGTAAATGGATCTGAAAATTGATTACTTGTACTCAACAGTGTTTGCCCCTTAGTGTTGTCCATAATAAACTTGGCCACCTGATCCAGAAACATAGGATTTAAATCATTCTTTTGCAGGAAGTTGTATGCAGTCAGCCAGGGATCATCAGTGATGTTATATGGCAGTTTGTAGGAAGGCCCATTTTCATTTACATCAATGGTGAAAACATAGTCATATTCCTTTAAGTGGAATAAAAATAAAAACACATTAGAAGTCTTCCAGCACTTTTTACATAATGATCTATTAAATGCAGTCTAACCTAAGCCTAAAAACTTAAACCACTGCTACTTCCAGAACATATCAGCAATACTCTCCTGAGAGACTGCAAGTAAACATTTGCTGATTTAGGTTAAACACTAAACATTACTTAGCAATAGCCAAAACATCAGTGTGTTGTAACACTGTTGCTATACTATATCCAAAACACACAGCATTGTACCAGCTGCTAGGAATACAAACTGTGTCTCAGTCAAAACCATCACAGACCTAAGCTTGTATTTTCCAGAATTCTCTGCTCAAGAAGAGCAGAGTAAAACAACATATCATTGGAATGAGTGTACACATATATTACAAAGTAAAGATGCATCAGGTCACCTTCATTGACACCTCCGGCGCCCTCCAACGCTATAGAGCAATCAATTTGATTGATTGCTTGATTTGATTTCTTCTCTCAAGAAATCTGACTCTTAAAAGCACACTTCTAACGCTAGCAAATGACTTCCTAATGCTTCTTTAAAATCTGTGAGAGTGAAAATCAGTATTTTGTAGGCATTTCTTCTGTGGTGGACCCTGACAAGCTTTTCTGTGTATATTTCTGTAAAGGAAACATTTTTTAGCTTATATGTCTTTAGGTTAGTTTACCTTTAAGTTCAACAGTTACTATAGAGAAGCAGGACAGAAAGTCTGGTACCTAACATTTTAGGTAAGCCTTGCATTATAAAGTTCATTTCCTTTGGGAAGGATATTAAAACTAACTTCTCAAGGTATTAACAATACATACAACAGAACTTGACAACTTCTCTACTAATGGTTTACCTTTCTCCAAAATAATTTGTGTCCATTAGCTTGCTCATTTTACAAAATGTGTTTTCTAAGTAATATACTGCACTCACTTAGACTTCTACCTCTGATATCAAAGGTATCAAAAAAAATCATGTTTTCTAATACAGATATTTTTTAAATACCTGTTTTCTAAATTATATTTTATCTGAACAAAGACCAGTTACTTAGGAAAGAATGAAACAAATTAAAGTTTGTACATACCTTTCCTTCAAATAAAACTTTTCCAGACGTTTGTTGTGTGGCTCCAGAAGAACCAACAACATCACCGATCTTTATCCATCTTCCTTCACTTACACTCCATTGATATGCTTCTACTTTCCCATTATCTTTAACAAGCCGTGTCTGTCCATCTCTTGTTCCTGTAGGCAGGAATTTAAACCATTTCAAGGATATTATTTACTTTCGGAGAGAAAAATATTCAAATGGTACTCAGCATTAAAAATTTAAAAATAGTTCAACAACACTTGAAACAACAGCACAGCAGATATATGGTTTAACCCCAGATGGCAACTAAGCACCACACAGACACACTCACTGGCTTCATGGCTGGGGGGCAGGAAAGAATCAGATGAATAGAAGTGAAAAATTTGGCAATTGAGATACAATTAAAAAGGTAAATCAAAAACTACATGCAAAAAGGTAAATCAAAAACTACAAGCAAAGCAAAACAAGGAATTTATACACCACTTCCCATGGGCAGTCAGGTGTTCAGCTGTCTCCAGAGGAGCAAGGCTCCATCAGGCTCAACAATTCCTTGGAGAGACAAACGCCAACTCTCCAAACCCCTCTCACTCCATATCCCCTCTCACTTCCTTCTTCTTCCCCCTAGTCTATATGCTGATTGGTATGGGGATATTCCTTGGGTCAGTTGGGGTTAGCTGTCCCAGCTGTGTCCCCTCCCACCTCCCTGCACACCCTCAGCTCCTCACCGGTGGGGTGGTGAGGAGCTACAAAGGCCTTGGCTCTGTGTAAGCCCTGCTCAGCAACAACAAAAACAATGCTGTGTTATCAGCCCTGTTTTCAAGCACAAATCCAAAACACAGCCTCATAATAGCTACTATGGAGAAAATCAACTCTATCCCAGCAAAAACCAGACAAAATACTACGTCTCACAACAAGAATATCAGCTTTCTTAAGGAGCATTTTACAATTATGGTAACAGTATCTGCCAACCGACTAAGTGGCAAAACCAATACTTAGGTCAAGTACTTTAGAAGTTTATCAGCTTCTCAGTGAGATACCAATTAAGAAAAGTGACATTCTCCCATAGTCTAACAAGATGCAAAGTTTCATATGGATCTAAGATCTACGCCACTTCCTAATCATAGCCAAGGGCTGAAGTCACCAGTTACTTCACCTTGGGAAAAAGTATTTGTCTGTTTATGAATAATGTTTACTACTGCTTCTACTGCATTCTCAAGTACCTACACAGTGTGAACCGAGCCCATCAAGACCACCTTTCAAGCCAAAAGCTAAAGCAGAAAATTTGCATTTCTACTTTTATTAAGAAAAAAACCTGCATATTCAGTATTCCTTTTACAAATTACCTGTTTCACATACTCTTGGTACAGCTGGCAGAACAGATAGAAAATATCTCAAACATAATGTAGCATCAATTCCACCTTTTTCTAAATTATCTCATAGGAGAATAAGAAAACCCCCAAAACCAAAAAACCTTGAGTCCTGTTTCCAAAAGAATCTGTGAAAGGATACCAGAGCAAAATTAGGCCATTTTCTTCAGTAACCCTATCAAAAGGGATTAAAGCTTTAAGTTTGGAAACCATCAGATGCTTCAATACCTCCAACCAATATTTGGAGGCACCTCTGACATGACAGAAGTATAGTAACTTACCAGGATCCTTAAGGTGTTCTCTTCCAGGAAGGTCATCAGCATTGATATCTCCTAAATCACCAGTTTTAGGGTCAATAGATGCTTGGGCAAGCTCATTTTCAAAAGCCTGAATCTCTTCAGCACTTGCTGTACGTTCCAAGGACTCTGTAAACACCCTTATAATTCCATCACTGAATGGAGAGAAAAGATTCAAATAGAAATACTATTTTAAATGTCGTTGTGATATGTTGTGATAAATTCTAATGGTGACTTCTATGTTGCAATAAACCATCACTATTTTCAATTACCCCTCCCAATTATAGCTATGAAAGGAATTCACTCTCATACTAAAACCATACAGAGAAGGAATCAAGCAGGTAACCCTGTCTTCAGAAACATTTTAATGTCAAGATACAATATGCTTATGCAAAGCATTTTTTATACCATGTTTTGTAAATTTATTCTCAAGTCTATTCGTGATTTACCACATATCCAAAGAACTCACTCTACCTCTATGAATGACATAAAATTACTTCATGGATGTAGTGCAGTGCATGTTTAAATTTAACACACATACACTCTGATGGCTTTATTTTTAAATATAAATGAAACTGACATCCAAAGTGAGGCTGGCGATTTCTTCAAGGATTATCAGATTTGGATTTACAAATATATTGAAAGTAAAACTTGGGATACCTTGCACCAACTACGATGTCACCATTGTCTAAGACACAGCAGCACCACACAGACTGAGCTGGGAGTCTGATTGTTTGAGCACATTCCCCTTGTTTCCAGATTCTAAGAGATCTATCCTCTCCAGTTGTTACAAAATCTGAAATAAAAAGATATAAAAAAGTTCTAAAGTACATTTTTAGCACACTGTGATAATGGATGCTATTCTGAAACTAGGTATCTAAAAATCACAACAGTAAAAGAATCTTTCTGCAATTCAGTAGTTCTCTCAATTACAAGTAGAGAGCAAAAACACCCCACTGTTCATTTGCCTTCTCAAAAAATCCAAAGTGCATAAATTGCAGATTAAGCAGCCAAACAGTGAATAAAACTGTGCCCAAGACAAAAAGATCCCTTCATCCTTTAAAGGGCTTGAACAATTTTATACTCATCATAGTTTCATCTTGCACTACAGTTGCTTAAGTTCACATTTGTTTTAAAATGAGTTTTGGAAGGTAAGCCTGCTTTATCAGGAAACACACATAAAGCAATTTTAAAAGTCTACAAACTACTCAATGAGGGATTTTAAGGCATAGGAGGTCTACAATATATGTACTAACCCATATACATGCACTTGACCTATTGAACAAATGTGCAAGTGTCCAATACACCCCACAAAGGTCACTGACTTGGAATTTCTTCTGCAACTGGCTCAACAGTTAGTTCTGAACCTCTAAATCTCTAACTCTGAAAACAAACGTAATTAAGCCTCATAACAAGAAATTCTTAACCTAAACTACATATAATGCACATTGTGGAAGTCTTTAAATTTACATTATCTCAAACTGGCATGCCACACATTACTATTTTACTACTCTGCAACAGCACTGAAATACAGGTGGCAGCCAAGACAACAGTTTTGCCTACTGTTTCATCTAAGTTTTACTTAAGCTTTCAATCAGCCATAACCCAGGACCTTTCATCCCACATACTGCCAGAGCAATTTTGACAGCAGTGCAACTTGGAGTCAATCTCAATGTATTTTATTTTTTTCTTACACCTAGTGCAAATAGGTGTATTTTCTTACACTTATTTGCACTAGGTGTAAGAAAAAAATTAAACACTACTGGTGTTCTTCAGTTGTGGCAGTGGCACAGAAAATCAGAATACACACCCTCTCATTTAATTTTGAAAAATGTCGTGTAACAGTTGGGAAGGAATCCTACCTTTACATCGAGGGAAGACAGAAATGCTGTATATGTAATTTGTATGTCCATAATACACCTGCAGACACTCGCCAGAGATCTGCCATCTTCGAACACTAGCATCATTAGCACAGGAAAGGAACTCCATTTCACTGAGAATAGCTAAACCTCTCACACAATCTTCATGTCCTTTACAAAAGGAAGAGAAAATTTTAATGCAGTTATTGTCTCCATTAGCAGCAGTATACCATTTCTGTATAGCTCACATCTAAATCCAGGCAAAAAATCTTTGTCAGAACAGTTAGAAAAAAAAATAAATTTCTCACAATTCTGTGAAAAATATCTTGTTTTTAGAAGTCATGTGGCCTCTGGACATATAACTACTTCAAGAAGTAGTTTACTTTCAAAATCCTGCCTAAATATTGTTCAGTTTATCTATGCTTTTGTAAGATTTTAATGTTTGTTCTCTTTTGACAAGAACAGACCACACCAATGAAATTATCAACTGCAGCAACATTTACCGGTGAATGTTCTTTCACATCTGCCTGCCTTCCACAGTTTTATAGTCTTGTCAGCTGAACCAGTCAACATTAATCCCTGTTCAGGAAGTATCTTCACTGCCCATATTGCAGCTGTGTGACCCTGCAAAAAACCCAACATTGTTAAGACATGCCAGAATCAAATTCAGAGTAGTTATTTCACATTCACGTAGAGGAACTTCATACCTGTAATGTCATCATACATCTGTCATTCAACCAGACTTTTGCTGTTGTATCCCATGATCCACTTAATAATGTGCCAAATTTCCCAGATGAAAGGCTGCAAACTGGAATGAACATTTAAGTCAGAACTGACAAGTACCTTGCACTGCCACAAATCTTAAGTAATTTCAAGAGATTCATTTAAGAGGATTTATTTGGTATTAGTAGCATATTTAGTGTTGAGGAGTCTAGAGAAGAATAAGTGAACTGTACTTGCACTGCAACCCAGAAAGAAGCTGCTTAAAATTCTCTTAATTTTACGTTTAAAAAATTGAAATATTTTTGCCATTCATATTTTTATACTTCTCTCAGTCACACACCTCTTCTCTTGGACTAGAATATGATGACAAACAGGTGAGATAACTAGCCAAGACACACAATTAATGCAAATGGGACATTTTTAAGAGAAAGAAAGGTATTAATTGATGTCTTCAAGAAGTTATTTCATATGAAAAACACTTAGCTCACCTTCTTGGAGGGAAAAATACTACCACCAAGAAACTGTGGTGAGATTCAAAGATTTAGTAGAAAGGTAATCTGCAATTTACACAGTGTAAAGCTCTGTATTTAAAGCACCAATTAATATTAAATACTCATCTAAGTAACAAAATGGGCAGAGGAAGTTTATTTAGGAAGGTCATTTTTTTTCCACTTGTATCAGCTTTAACAAAAAAATTAATACATGAAGAAGTAAAGTGCAATTCTTGACAAAAGGGTAATCATTCTGTCAATTGCCAGGAATTTAAAGAGATAGTGAAAGTTCAAACATTCATCAGGACAAACTTGCAAGTCCTTGCAATGAATGGTCACTGCACGAATTAAGATTATAAAATCCTACTTGCAGAGAACATAATTAAACAGTTTGCTACATTATATACCAAAAAAATCAAAACTGAGTTTCATAAATTTGATTTCATTTCCTCTCTAATAAATCACGTTAACTTTTATGCCAAAATCTCCAAAGTACAATTACTACATACCTGTGTTTTTATGACCCTTAAGGACGTAAAGAGGAGCTGAGTTGTCAACTGTGAAAATGCAAATATTATGATCATTGCCACCAGTTGCAATCAGCCCACGAGGGTAGAGGTCACTTGGAGGTATGATGCACACGCAAGATACAAAATTTGAGTGGCCACTCATACAGTGCATCTCAGTAAAACCCCTGTTAAGACTAAAACATAGATAATAATCAGTTTAGAATCATGACAGAAACAGCACTTTGAGTAAATTACAGTTCTTATTAATTAACAACTATGCTTGTCTTGTGCTGAATAAGTACTACAGATGGCCTAGAAAGAATGAAATTTAAGACAAAAATTACATCCCAGAATGTCGCAGACATTTTTTCATAGAAATCCTTTCTTTGGGATTTGTTCATCTTCTGGGAAGCTGAGGCCCCAGAAGAAGAATATAAACAATTGTTATCGGCTGGTGTGGAATGCAACAGGAGCATCTGTGTTTGGTCTTCTGTGAGTGTTTGGATTTGCTGACCACTCACAGGAGAGTTTGTCCTTGCTTTCTGCTGGACACAGAACTTTGTTATTCATTCTTTCCTATTCTATTTTTAGCTTAGCAAGCCTCTGCAACTTCTCTCCTTATTCCTTTTAGTATAGTTATAATGTATTATATATCATATATCAATAAATCCAGCCTTCTGATCATGAACCAAGATTCTCGTCCACTTCTCTCACCCTGAAGACCTCATCAGGTCGCTGTAATACCAGAATTCTTCCCCATACACAATACTAAAGCTTTCCACTTATTTTTAAATGTAGTGATAGGCCTGGAAGGACTTTTGTTCTTTCTCGCTCATTGGCAAACACTCTGCCAAATTTGATGAGAAATAGCTACACTTTGTCTTTATGCCATCTTTTTTTTGTCTGGAAACTCAAATGTATGTCCAAGTACATGCTGAAGTAAGAGCACAGAAATGTAGTTTACTGCCAGCCAAGTGTATTCACTGCCTCTTCATTAGGAGCACTACAGAGGAATAAAAGTTAAACAGATCATAACTGACTCAACCAGCACCTTCATTTCTTCCTCCTCAGCCAATCTCAGCAGTTACAGCACTAATGGAAAAAAGCTACTTATTCCCATAGAATAAACATGTAGGTTGTGGTGTTGTGTCTTGTTATGTTTGCCTGTGTTTATTCACCCTCCCTCAAAAACAAAAGCTATCACATGATATCATACCGTTATCCTTCAAACCCTAAAGCTTGGCAAGCTTGAAATATGTAAGAAAATCATGATACTCTTCTAGATTCTAAAAGATCTCCCCTTGACGCACATAGAACAAATCACAGGAGCAACATCTCTCCTTGGAAAAGCTGAATCAAAACAGCACACAGCAGTGTGCTCACCCACTGAACCCTGACTACTGTAGTCCCTGAGCCTTCAAAGCAGAGAAGCATAATCAATATCAACATTTGCAGTTGATACAAGTAAGTTATGTCTTCTTCCTCACAAAGTTCTCAAAAACTGTGGGTTAGAACTAGAATTCCTTTCCTCCTGCAAATTTCTGTGCAATTTAGCAAGTTCTTTGTCTTGTGATGAGAGACTCAGTAAGACCCACTTAATAAGATTAGTTTTTCTTCACCTCAGTCGCAGAGCTCCAGGGAGTAATACGAAGAGACATGTAAGCACTCAGCAAATTTGCCAATTATTTCTATTTTACATGAAGGCAATGGGAAGAACATCCATGCCTAGTAACTTCAGAATACAGATCACAATACACAACTATAGTCTGGGAGGAGGTACATCCTGTAGCTTCCAGCAATACCCCACATCTCCTACACACATTGCTTAGCAGTGTATGTGGTCTGCTCCTGGTCAAGGTAATATGCTGAAAAATTCACTCTGTGTATTCAACTACGCAAATTAGTAGGAGACATATTAGTGGAATATCAGAAAAATTAATCTTGGGGTATCTTTTCTTTTTCTATGTCTTTGTGCATTTAATTTTCTGTACAGTTTTTTGCTCATATTCCATTTAATACTTAAAGAAGCTCGTTTAACAAGGGTGAGAAAGGATGGGGCTTTTTTGTGTGCTTTTTTTCAAAGCACAGTGCCTTACTGTCAAAACAGCATCACTGTTACTTAGCAGGATTACTTGGGCACTGAATACTATGAGGTAGAAACAACGTTATTGACACCACTTAGAAAAAAAGACGCCTAGAACTAATGGCATTGTTCTCATGTCCAAAGCACACTACAACATCGATGTACAGCAAACGGCTTTAAAACATACAACTTTCCCCAAAGGCATGCAGAAGTTAGGCCTGCTCAGCCCGGAAAAGAGAAAATTACATGGAGACCTCATAGCAACCTTCCAGTATCTAAACGGGCCTACAGGGCCCCTGCAGAGAAGTTGCGGATATCCCATCCTCGGGAGTGCTAAAGGCCAGGATGGACAGGGCTCTGAGCAAAGTGTTCTGGTGAAAGGTGTCCATGCCCGTAGCTGAGGGACTGGGACTAGCTAATCTTGAAGGTCCCTAACGTGACTCTCTACAAGTGACAATGACAACCACGAGCGCCGCCTGCGAATAGGCTCCCGCCGTCCGCCACCTCCCTCGGCCCCATCGATTGTGCCGGCAGCCCCTGAGGAGAACTCAGCTGCACGGACGAACTCGGCGGGGCACGGGCGGAGCCCCTGTGGCGCCACCTCCACGCTCTGCGCCGCGGCCCAGCACTCACCCGTCAGGGGCCCAGAGCCGCGCGGTTCTGTCCCGCGAGACGGACACGAAGCTGTCTTCCGGGAAGAGGCCGCGGGTGAGTCCGCGCACGTCCTGCCCGTGCCCCAGCAGGGAGCAGCGCAGCCGGAACGTGCTGCCCTCACCCGCCATGGCGGCAGCGGCGGCCTGACACAGCACGGACCGCGCTGCCGGAAGTCGTGCCGGAAGTACCGTCACAGGGCGCGCCGCCGGACCGAGGCGAGGCTCCTTATCCCGGCAAGCACTGCGCTTCACGCAGGAGGTTGTTCCGCCTCTCTTCCATCGCCAGGCCCTCTGGGAATTGTAGTCTTCGGGAGCCACGGCAGGCTGGAGCGAGATTTGCGGCCATCGCGATATCCGCGCGAGCGGTTGCTGCGATACGGCGGCGCTGCCCGCGGGCTGATGGCGGCTGAGGGGCGCGGTGAGGGGACGGGGCCCTCCCGGGCCGTCGCGGCGCTGGCTCCGCGCTGCTGTGCGGCTGGGATGGGCTCCTTGATGGGCTCCTTCGGGGGTGACGAAAGTTGCTGGGGTTTGTCAGGGACAGCGCGGTTTGGGATTGCTGTAGTAATGGGTGATGGTTTACGGACCCTCTGTAGATAACCTGAATGAGTGTTTGCGCCAGTTGCTCAATTCCAGTTTGTTTCATTAAAGATTTGCATTCAGATATTGAAACAATAAATGCTACAAGAATAATCTGAGAGCTCACTAAACACTGAAAAGAGAGTGCTGCCTCAGCTTACATTAAGTGGTCTTTCCCGAGCCCTGCCGCTCATGGTCTCGTACCATCCAGTAAGGAAGTACTTTGCAAATTGCTAAAAAATCCAAGACCATCCCCCCATAACATTGTAGTAAGAGCTATGCTTTAAAGAGTCGGTTTCTCATAGTTTTAAGGACCTTGTGCAAATCAAAGGATTATTTCTTTTCTTACCAGAGAGAAGTTAAAAAGGAAACGAGTATGGCCAGCGGTAACAGACCTCCCACAGCTCGTTCTGCCTTAAGATCAGGAATAGGACTGACCTCTTCATCAAGGCCTGCCTCTTCATCAAAGACTCCGTCAGCAGGCAGAGTAGGAACAGCGGTATGTTAGTAAATATTAAAAATATATCATTAATTTTTATGTATTTAGATTTGTTTGTTTGCTTGCTTTTGCTAATCTTATTTTTTTTAGTGCCAAGACCAGAGTGAGGAGAAGTTCTTTTTTGAGAAGAATTTAAGATCTCAGTTTTGTATAAAGTTTTGCTAACCTTGCCTGGAGGAGATCAGGGACATTCAGCATCCAGACTTTGCCTGAGAGACCTAAATAGCATTAATGTTGCAGATAGATGGAACAATGTACAGCTGCTCAAAAGTAATTCCTTACCTTCTACAGCAGACATTCATCTGAAGCTTTGCTTCCCTGAAGAGATGTAAATGCTAAAAGATTCCTGCAGAAGGAGTGTAGAGACTAACTGAAGTTTTTAACTGCTTTTGCAATTGCTTAAGGATAATAAAGTTATATTTCAGACTTGGTAGATTTTTCATTTGTTTTGTTATAGATGCCTCCTAGTACAGCAAGACCTGGTTCTCGTGGTGGTTCTTTGACTCCTGGAGGAGTCTTATCATCTCAGATTAAAGTTGCAGACCGCCCAGTGACTCAACAGGGATTAAGTGGAATAAAAACTGCAATGAAAGGTATCTTATACTGAAGATAACCGTCAAGATGTCTGCAAACATTTTGAAAGAATATTTAGATTTTTAAAGGAAAGCTTTTCATCATTGTGTAATTTGCAGAGTGAAGAGCTGTGACTAAAAAGAGGAGCAAAAAGAAAGAAAATTAAAGTGTCCCTCCTTCTGTTGTTAGTCTTGGTAGCCAAAGATAAGCATTTTTCTGTAACTGAGCTGTCTTTAAAAGTAATTCAAAAGAGTAAAACAAGGTTATTGTGTCTTTTTCCATCACTACAGAATACTTAAAATACTCTGTTATGTAGTAACTATTTGTATATTTGTATTAGTAATGTTTATCTTCACAGCAGTCCAAAAATGTCTTCTTTTTAAAAATTACACAGTAACTATATAGGGACACCAAAAGATATTAGTTGTACATTTTTTTATGTAAATTTTGCACATTGTTTTCCTAATTTACAGTTCATCTAAATTAGGGGTTTTAAAATAAAATATCATATTGCTTTCTTTTATCAGGTCCTCAGAGACAGATAATGGATAAAACGTACTACCTTGGCGTGCTGAGGTATGTCCTAACAGCACACATGTAATGGTCTGTTCGCTTTCAGACACAGAGTTGAAGCTTGAAAATAGCGTGAAATAAATGGTGCTCATGTATAATGAACTTTTATAGGAGTGCTGCTGTAAAAGTGAAGGTTATTTGCATATAGATATTCTGTACGAGGAAAGGAAGTAGATTCCCTTGAGCTTTTCTTGTTAGGCTTGCTAAGTTAAATGCTCTCTCACAGTGTTAGTAAGGAAAGGGTCGCTGATTCTGAGCTTCCAGCTCCAATGTTTATTGGGTCTGATTTCTAACAAGTAGCATCGCTAAACAAAAAATTTTTATTGTACATTTCAGATTATTTGCTTGGATTATACATTCGGCTAGCTATGGCAAAGGCAAGACCCTGTGCAAACTATTGCATGCAGGATTTTATCAGTTGCTCATATTATTGAGCAACTGATAAAATTAGGACTAATTATTGAATAATTAGTCCTAAAATATGTAATTTTAAATATGGAGGGTACCCACATTCTGTGAAATTAGACTGTGGTTTTTTTATTTCCACGTTTGTTTTGCCAGCAGAGACAAAAAACTAATTAAAACATTTTATTTCATACCAAGGTTTTCCAGCAGCTACTTGGGACTTTAATTGATACAACCATTTTGCTTTTTTCTACACTTACCTCTTCTTAGAAATGCTGAGTTGAAACAAAGTGCAGTGTGAGAGATACTAATTGCAAACCTGTTGTGAAATATGTTCACTGTTTTTGCTGTGCTTTAGTTGGATATCCAAATGTTGATGATTCTTTTTTCTTTATTTTTTTCAGAAGTAAAATAAATGAACTTACAACAGAAATTAACAAACTGCAGGAAGAAGTAGAAATGTACAAGCAAGAGAAATCTGTCTATTTGTCCTATGAAAAACGGTGAGATAAATTGCAGCTAATGCAGTGCTAACTTTCTAAGTCACAGGACTGTTTTCAAGTATTGAGCAGGCTTCAAGGAATCAGTGAATAGTTGGTTTTTTTAATTATTTTATTTTAATTTTAATTAATAATAATTTTTCATTATTTTATTTTATGTGCAAATCTTACCATCTGAAGTTTGACCTTTTTGTTTCATATTTAGGGCAGAGGCTTTAGCTGGTGAAATCAAAGATTTTCAAGGTCAACTAGCAGACTACAACATGGTATGCTGCCGTCGAATTTTGATACTGAATGCTCCTATTTATTCTCTTGCTGCTTTTGCTTTATTCCGAATAATTTTTTGACATTTCTATGTGAAAATTTACTAGTTAATACTGCCTTTATTCAGTTATTGGCAAGGAAAGGGATGGAAACAGGAAAACAAAAAGTGTACTATACATTAGGAGAAGCATCTGCTTATGGATTTAAGAAACTGGTGCTGTGTAATATTTCAGTGCTTAGAACAGTGACATGTAATGATGATTATTTCTAAAAATGACATGTAATCTATTCAGATTGCCAAATCATGTTTTTTCCAATTGCAATAACCAAAATTTGCTGTTTTCATGAACCTTTTGTCTGACTTTTTTTTTTTCAAGAAAAGGAAAGCAGTAACAGGTTGGATTTCTTTCTTGTTTCAGGTTGTGGATATACTTAATACCAGTACAGATATGGCAGAAGTGATCCGTGATTACAATATGGTAAGAATTAGGATATTTGCTATGCTTTAACAGTGAAAGGATGTGTTACTTTCTTGGTGCTTTGAATGTGTGACGTATATAAAAAAAACATTTTTTTCCAATTAAGTTATTCGTAATGTTGGCAACATGTTAGCAGTAAGAAAATTGCCTGAAGTCTTGTGTTGACTGGCCCATGATAGATTTTTGTGATTTACATCTGAGAAGGCTGTTGTCACCCCAAATTATGAGTGTTAAATTATCTTTTTTATTTTTTGGGAGCACAAAACACTAGTCTTAGAGAGGCAAATTTAAGCAGACTGCACTGCCTTGTAAAGCTACCTGATCTTCTGGACATTAAGTTCTCTTTTGTCTTAGCCTTCTAAATGTCTCCAGTGTAAAAATATTAAATAGGTCTCTGACATAGCCACCACAATATCAAAGAGTTTTGTTCTTCATTTGCTTTCCTTGTTTATTTCTAATACAGCCTTTTAAGTGTTAAGGCATGAATGGCACTATGCTGATTTTATTTCTTATGATTAATTTGTCCATAAACAAAATAAAACAGTTTCAGTAAAGGTGGTTTTGGTAACTTGAAAGATGACCTGATTATTTCTTGGTCAAAATAACTTTTTTTTTGCTTGCATTTGTTTGAATAATAAAGGTACAATGTCTGTGTCATAAAGAGAAGAATGCTTTCCATCCCATCTGTGTGGTTTTAAACAGTATATTAGGAAGTGTTTCAGGAATAGATCCCACAGAAATAGGAGGTGAATCAATTTCTCTGGAAGTATTTAGAAGATGTGTACATGTTGTTGTGGTTTGTTAGTGGACTTGTCAGTGCTGAGTTAAGGGTTAGACTTCATGATCTTAAGAGGCATTTTCCAACCTATATGATTCCATGACTTATTACAAACTTGATTGTATTTAAATTTTTTATTTTTTTTAAGTTAAAGGTTCAGAATGACCGAGACACTCAGAATATAGATAAAATTTTCACAGAAAGACAAGCGTAAGTACATTTACATGTATGTTTTTCATTTTTGAATAACTCAACTTCTCATAACTCAGCTTGGGAAAATTGAGGTGTTACATGCTACCATACCAGTGCAATGCATATGAACAATTTCAAGATGATACATTAGTGCCAGGTTGTAGTTGGAGTTCCTAGCATTGAGCTCTAGTAACTCTTCTGAAGATAGTTACCCTGCCATCCAGGAAGAGCTAGGTGGCAGTAGAGACTCCTGTCTTTTTGCAGTCTGCTGTCAAATTTTGGGAGTTTTGTTGTGGAGTAGCAGAATGAAGAAAGCAAGC